ACTGGCAGCCATGTTGGTAGGTAACTGAGTAGGAAAATAATCCAATCATCGAAAAGATTAAGATTAGCTACATTGTAAAAACTACCAAGTATTTTTATTGTCTGGTTTCTAGAGAAAATATTTCTGTAGACTTGAAATCAGACAAAACTAACAAAATAACTTTTCAGCAAAATGTTTTTATAACATTGATATAGAAAATAATACTAGTTCAAAGTGCAATAATCTGCCACTTTCCCAGATTATAAATTAAAATCTTCCACTGGTTGATTATTCCTCTTATAACTAGAACAAATTTATTATTGACCTAAAACAAGTTTTGTTTTATTTCTAGAGTACTAAGATGTTTCCAGACAAAAATACTTGGTAAGATTTTGTGTTTTTACAGTGTATGATTTCCCTTCCACCCATTAAACCTTAAGGTTCATAATGCATCCGATCCAACAGGGTTTCCGTTTCAGAAATTAACTGCAGTGACCAGCTCAGATGGATCCAACCTGAAGTCTCCATTTTAGCCCAATCCGGATTATTTTAGCATAATCAGAAGTTCGGTGTTTGCAGAAACCAGCAGGTGCAGCGCTGCAGATATTTCAGCCCAACGTCTCTGCAGCCTGATGCTGAGCAAACATCTGAAAAGAGAAAATCCTTATAGAAGCGCTGAAAAGCAACAAGCTGAGCGTCACACAACCCGCCGACGGAGATAAAAGCTCTCGGCGCGGCAGAGACGCGACCGGCGGAGGAAAACAGAGGGAGGCCCACGCTCCTTTGAAGTTATATTTAGGACAAAATCCTTCTTTGCAGAACAAACCGTCTTATTCTATGAATACTAATCAGAGGCAACAACTGAGGGAGGAACCGTCCTCAGAGCACAGGAAGCCGCGCCGCGTTTGATCCGGTTCGGGACGCATCAGCTGCTCCATTCAGGCCACATGCACCAAAATCAGCCAGGAAACATGAGAGGAAACAGTTCAGCCTAATTCACTGTTAAAGGGAACTGAAAAGTGTGGAGTTCCTCAGGTTAACATGGGGAAAAACTGAAAGCTCTTCTGTTCTGTACATGAAGGCCTCGACCCAATAAAGGAGCAAATAAAGTTTCTCCCAGCAGGAATCCCATCATGCATCTCAGCTGATCACAGCAGCAGCAACTTGATGCTGCATAATGGCTTAACTGAGGCATCAACTCTTCAGGAGCCTGCAGACCATGATGGATGCTGCAGCTCACAGAGAAACGTCCAAAAATCAGACGCATTTTAGAAAGGATTTTATCCTCTTCCTCACATGCAGAACGTGCTTTTCTGCTGCCCTGCTGTGAAACACACCAGAGAGACTCACACTGCATGTCGCAGGAGAACCTCTGCTGCTTTTCACAGAAGAGGAAACGACCCAATCAGAGAGACGGCAACCAGCTCAACGCTCCTCTTCCTCCTGCTCTTCCTCCTGCACGATTCTGGAGTCAGAACCAGAAAACATGACTCTGGTGTTTCGTTTCTGCAGCCTCAACATGAGCCAGCAGGAGAATCTGCAGGTGTAAAAATGTTAAGAATTTATTTCATTTCTAAAACTGACTAAAGGCTAAAACTGAACGATTTTTATAAATTCAGGAGCAACTTTGTGGTGGGACTTAAACAAAATTTTAAGTATAAATGTCAGCAAATTAAGCCACATCTTCACTTCAAACCCCTTTTTCCTGCTAAATTATTAAACAAATAGAAATATGAGCTCAGCAATAAAATATCTGTAGTTTTTAATGTACTAATCCAGGAGATTGGAGCAAAATGTTTTTCTATCCATTCAGCTTTCCAGAGTTTCTCTGATTGTTCATGGAGCTTCTTTAGAAATGTGGACGCTGATATTAGCATTAGCTGCTACATGTTTAGCATTAAGATGCTATTTTCAGCTAGCATAGCTTCACTAATGGGCTAATTGCTTTTAGCACAACGTTAGTCTGTTCCGTCATCCAATCAGGTCGGTTTAAATCAGAAATAATCCCCAGAGGGAAGCCGCTCTGTCATCCATTGGTGTTAGCAGATGTAGCGCGTGTGCAACATTTACAGCCGTACCAGAAACATGAAAACACAAAGGTTCCTGCTCAGGACTTGAAACGATGCAGATTCAAAGGTTAAAAATGATAAAAACAGAAAAAAAAGAGACCGCATATTGTGAGCAAATTTGCAACATACAAAAGATGAAACTATAGTCATTAAAAATAGCATATTCAAATTTAATGAAATGTGCAACTGGAAAGGATCATTTAAAGATCTAATATGTGGGTTTATGCATAAAAAAAGAGAAAATAAGTACCAAATAAGTACCAGAGTTTGTTGGGAGCAGTGAAGCTGCTGGCAGGAAGGATCTGGCATGACGCTGCTTTGTGCACTGAGGACGCAGCGATCCGTCACTGAAGGAGCAAACACTGATGCAACATGATCCTAGTTATATTTATTAGACTGCCAACTATTTGGAAAAATAATCATTTCCATTTGGTTGCAGGCATGAAAGTCACATTTAGTAAATCTGCTGTTATCACATTGAAACAACTTCAGGTTTAGTCTCCGGCCGTGAACAGCAGCAGAGACGCTAATGCAGCTCAGAGTTACTGCAGTCCAAGCATTTCCTCTGTTATTGATACTGCAGATAATAGTTCTGGGATCATAATAAACTTTTGAAATATTGTTCATCCCTAAAAGCCAACAATGACTCCAAAAGTTATTCTTGGCTTCTGTCTGCAGAGACTTTCTGCTTCTCCATTTCTTCCTGCTGCCACTTTAACCAATCAGCGATCAATACTGCACTCGTCACATTACCACTAATGCAATCAGCAGTTTACCACAGGGAGTGATTATCTGGGAGACATGAGGCATCAGCAGGCTGAAATATCACCTCCAGAAAACAAAGATGCTCCATCTGCAGAGAGAAGCTCCTGCTGTTGGGTTTTTGTCTCCAGGTTCTGGTTTCCTGTTCGGCTCGTTTCTGGAGCCGAGTCGGGATTCAACAGGAGAAACATTAAAGAGCCGCTGGTTTCCAGTCAGAGCGCAGAGAGATGGGAATAACACACACACGCACACACACACACACGCACACAGGTCAGCAGCATCGAACCGAACCCGGTCCATCAAACAGAACTGAACCGGTCCGGATTGATGCACAAAAAACTTTATATTAGAGCTGAAACGTTAAAGAATTAAAAAATAGACATAATTAATTGACCTAAAGCCCAGTTGAGGATGTTGGTTCTGATCCAATCTGTGATCCAACCAAACCGGCTGAAATAATCTGACCACATCTGCTGAGGTCAACACCTGGATGGGCGGCCATCTTGGACATGCAAATCCTTTAAGTTCCCTCTTATAAAAAACGACAGAAGGAACCAGAAAAACAGCCAGAAATGATTTTTCCCTTTAGTCACTTTAATCAGAAACCTGCGGGATGAAGCAAAGCCTCAACATGGCTCCTCTTCCCTCCTCCTAGCTTCGGCTCTTCTTAAAGAGGATAAAGGAAGATGAAAAGCTCTCTGGTGTCTCCTGCTGTAGTGACCCATTTGTTAAATTTCCTCGGAGACCGCGGCGCGTCCCGCAGCGCGGATCCAGCCTCCAAACGCTTCTCTAAACCCATCCAGCTCAGACTGCTTCCTGACCCCAAGGCACTCCCATTTCCTGACTATTTTAAACGCAACACAGTAACAGCAGCCATTAACCATAACTCAAACATTTTACAATCTGCAGCTTCTGCTGTTTGAATTCAAAGTTTCTCTCTGGATTTAAAATCATTTTAGTCACTTTTACAAGAACTGAATGTTTGTGACAAAAGGAAACTGACATTTAATTCTGAGGAAGTCATTTGTTTTCCAAATGGCTCTAAGTGAATGAACTTCCTTTACAAAACAAGAGTTTTATGAACTTTGGTTTCAAATAATATTGTTTTATTTATCCATCACAAATCACAGCCAATAGTTAAGAAATATGTATTTTAATGCTTCAATCAGAAGTTTAAAGTCTGAACTGCAGTTTTTTCACCGATTTTGTTTCACATTTATCATTTTGTTTTGCTTGTAAGGCTTTTATTTGATGCTATATTTCCATTATTTTGGTAATTACTACACTAGTAGTACTTTCTGGATTAAGGACCAGTTACTTCAGTTTGTATTTGTTTTTTTGCCGTTAGCAGGTTTATTCTTCATCATTTATTTCATTCTTTTTGTAATTTGAATTTATTTTATGACCTTCATGGCTTCAATATATAATTAATGTTACTGTAAACATTTAAATTCTTTAAAACGTTAGTTTTTTTATGACTTCTGCCTTTTTATGTTCATTTCATTTCACATTTTGTATTTTTTATTACTTTGTTCAGAAATCTGCCATCTTAGTTTCTTATTACCTGACTGTTTATTTTAAAATATAGTTACTATTTTGGTTATATGTTGAGTATATTGTGTAATATTTGTTCTTTCCTGATCTTTTTTTACAACTGTTGATTTTTTTTTGCAAACTACTTCGCTGCTAAAATAAAAAAAAAATAAAGTAAAAGCTTATAAGCAATGAAAAAAATTAATGATCTGAAGGAACAGTTTTGTGTTCTTAGATGCGTTTTCCTTCAGAAATATAACTTTGGTTTAAAACACCAGGAAATATTTTACTGATTAGTTAATCAACATTTTCATCCATGTCATATTATTCATATTATTTAATCCAATGGTTCAGAAACTTAACACTGTTAATTTAACAATGACCCGTGCTTTAGTTCTTCACGGCCCAGAGCGGGACCCCGACCCCAGGTTTGGGAAACCCCACTCTTTACCTCTGCGTCAGACAGCAGATATCCCACACAGACGGTGTCCGTGAACGCACCACTCCAGTGTTTACCTTGAACCCTGGTGTTGTTGTGCTAATTAGCTCAATAAACGCAGCAGTTTCACACTCAAACACGAGCCCAGCGTATCCACGCTCACCCACGGCCACAGCCCACGCTCACCACAGCCACAGCCCCGGCCACACACCGCTTACCGACGGGCATCGTGGAGCTAAAGTACCGCAGACCGTCCAGCCGAGCCCCGTCAGTTAGCCTCCATTAGCTTCTCCTGCCGCCGCTCCGCTTCGCCTGGTTCCGGGTTCCGAGAGTCTGGAGCCTGGATCACCTGTTCGGACCGAGAGGCAGAATTAGCGCCCAGCCAGACTGTCCGGGTCCGGGCTGCCCTGCTCCGGGCTGCCACGGAGCTCCAGCGCCGCTAACAGCCCCTCCTGTCCGGGGAGGCTGTCGCCGAGCTGCCGCCGAAGCGCCGCGGAGCTTAAACTGCGACATTAGCGCTAAAAGCAGCGCAGAGAGCGACATACCTGGAGGTAAACATCCAGATCAACTGCCACTCATTACCGCCCGCTTCCTGCTTCACGGCGACAGACAACACGGAAGTGAGAGCAGCGGCGGAGCCAAACAAGCCGAAACATGCGGCCAGAGAGGCGCTAATTATAGCAGCCTGGCCAAGGTGCGTCTGCGGAGGAATGTCCCCGGTGTCCTCTGGCAGGAACCTGTCCTCTGGCAGGAACCCGTCCTCTGGCAGGAACCTGTCCTCTGGCGCTGCAGGGACCCGTCCTCTGGCAGGAACCTGTCCTCTGGCAGGGACCTGTCCTCCTGTCCCAGATTCACCTGGCTCTGCTTCCCTCTTATTGGTCAAAAAAACGTGAAGCTTTGGGCTCAGGGGTCAAATGAAGGTCAACCTGTGTGGCCCTGAGCCCGGCAGGGAACACCTGGAGGTCAACAGGTGTGTTTATTCATAACAGATGGATGAATAGATGTTTTAGCTCCTTCTACATTCAGAGGTATATTAGAAAATGGTGGACAGGTGAGACTGCAGGACTTAGGCCACGCCCCCAGGCGGTTGCCCTCCAGCTCAGGTAAACATCAACCTGAGCTGGTTGTTGTAAACAATGCTGTAAGCAAGATGGAGGATATTTCAAGACATTTAAAGGGTTAATGTCACTAACCGCTGCTGTTTGTAGTTAATGCAGCTCTTAGCATCATTTCCTTTCTAACTCCTCATAAATGCTGCAGAGGTGCAGCTCCACCCTCACTGATGATTGTCAGCAGAGACACCAACAGTAATTAACCAGAGCGGAGTGAAAACATCTGATCTGTGAATGTGAGAAAGTTTTTCGTTTGTGCGGCTTTTTAAGCTCTTAAGGGCCTTTGCTGCTGGACTTAAGGCTGATTAAAGGCTTTGGCCTCACAGATGGCTGCCAAGCATGTTGAAGTCAAATGAGTGGCAGCGCCGCCGCCGCCGCCTCTAGGCCTGATGGGAAAATAATAATAAAAAAACGGCTAGTTTAATTACTCTAATGCACAAACATCCACATGTTCTCGCTGTGGGATTAAAAGGAGCTGGAAGGGGCGGGGCTTATCGCAACACGTGGTTACTGAACACATTAACAGATTTAGAAGTTTTAGTAGAGCAGTCAGGTACAGTGTGAGTCCACTAATAATTTACTTATTGAAGTTGACATAATTCACATTAAAAACCAATAAAAGACATTAATTTATTGGCTTTCTGAAGGACGACACAGAGCTGCAGCATGACATCACACCCGAGTTAACACTGTTCAGCTTATTTGTTATTTTATGATTATATATATCAATTGATCTGGTTTTACACTTATGTCTTGTTGAAAGTAGATGTCTCTGTTTGCCTGATGGTGGCCAACAGTTTTCCAGAGGGCCCATGGCCCCCGGGGCCCACCCTTGGGGGCGCCACTGCCTGTCGTGTTGCTGAGGTGTGATACGTCCTGGTCAGTTAATAACTGAATTTACTGAATACATTATGGATAAAACAACACAATTTTTAATTGAGGTAATAAATTATTAAAGTAATAATAATTCTTTAATAATTAAAGAATTATCAAAGTCCAATCTGTGCTTGTCAGAGATTTACATTTACTTTATAATCTGCTGTTAGGGCTTGTTGGCCATGCTATGCTAACTCCTGCTAGCTCCTCCTGATTGCAGAGGAAGATTCTTTGTTCATTTCTGTTTCAGTTCAGGAAGAACAGAGGAAACAAGGTGTAGCAGAAAAGCCGCCTCATCCAGCAGGCAGTGATGTGCAGCGACCCTCAGCTCAGTATCAAAGATCTTAAGCGGTAAAACGACCAAGTCAATGAAACGTTCAGACAGTCGCAGTTTTCTCATTACTCTGGGAATTGACTGCTGATTGTCTGGCTGCAGCTTGGGGATGTTTTCATGCAGCTCGTTGGAACCAGTTCAGGTGTAATTGAACAGATTCGTTCCTGGGAACGACGACTGAGCTGCAGTTCCTTTGAACAGCATGTTCAGGATATCTGAGATGAAGTTTGATCTGAGTTTTAGCAAAGATGAAACAAAAGACTTTTAATTCCTTAAAAGTTAAAGGAATTACTTTGCTAAAGTGCAAATAATATATTTTGTGTTTCTTGTGTCATAGTTTCAATCTAATGTGAGGATTTCAGTCCTTTGAGTTTCAGCTCAGATTATTATTGCATTAAAATTCAAGGTGAATGTTCAGGAGAGCATCAGAGTCTCCTGGGCTCCACTGAGTCACTCAGAGACATAAAATGTGTTGTTAAAGCAAAACAGGCCAAAGATTTACAGGAAATTCAGTTTTTATAAGAACAGTTTCCATCTGAAAGCGTCGCCAGCTGAGCCTGAAGCTTCCTGATGCTGGAGGTTCACAGGCTGAGAAACGACATGATGTCGACTTTTGATCAGTTTAAAACATTAATAACTGGTTTCAAATGGTTCAAGACAGATTATCAAACTGTCAGAAAAAAAGACAAAGTTCAGATTATTTATTTATAAATTGCAATTTTGTTCTAAAACACTTTAAAAAAATAATTATATATGTGTAACTGTTAAAACTGCACACAATAACCAAATGATTAGGGCTCAATAGGCCTGTCAAATTAATAAAAGACACATGGATGCACCGTCTCAAAGACCAATCAATTCAAATAATAACAAACATTTAACACTGCAACTGGGAGACATTTTAAATATCCAGAATAAAACGACAGAAACAACAAATAAACTGAATTATGAAGCAACATTGTCCTTCAAAAAATGTCTAGATAAGATCAAAACATCCGACTGAAAACTTTTATCACCCAGTTTTTGGTCGAAAGAGAAAAAAATGATAAATTATTGAGCTTGTTTCAACATACAACGCAATCAATCGATTTATTGCTAATTGGGATATACTGAGGGGCCAACTGTAGTATTTTAATAATAAAAACAAAAACTATTTAATCCCAAAATAACAAAATGGCTCCAACCTTCAGGAAACTCGTCTCCTCTTCTCCTGCCTGTCAGTTTTTCTCCGCTCCGCCTGCCTGCTGCATTCAACGTTAAACAAACACCTTCTGGTTCAGAAACAGTTCAAGCTTCAGGTTCGGCCCAAATGTTGTCCGGACTCGACCCGGCAGACCCGAAGAACCAGTTAGGACCAGTTAGAATCAGTTAGGACCAGCTAGAGTAAATCAGAATCAATTAGATTCAATTAGAACCAGTTAGATCCAGTTGGAACCAGTTAGAACCAGATAACTGGTTCTAACTGTTACATAAAGACTGAGTCCAAGTACAGCAGCACATCTACAACCAGGACTTTTTTTAAATCTCAAAATAATCTGATGTTCAAATCAAGATTTTAAAATCTGTCGTTCTGACGTCTTCACTGCAATACTGAGCAAATCCACCACAGTTTTCACTAACAGAGCATTTACAGTATTTATGCTTTTCACTGCGGTTCTGTTATCAATTTCAGTTAAATATGAAAACATTTACAGTACAGACAGAATTAAAAACTGTAATTCTGTCTGTATCTAACTGGCTGAAGGGAACGAGGCGGGAAGTGTTAAATAACCGTCCAAACAGTAAAGAGCTGTTAAAAACCGTTAGAGCTGGAAACTTTGACTTGGGGATGTTTGCGCCTGGATGTTGGATGTGCAGCAGAGAAAGCTCAGTTTTCAGTGCAGGAGGCTTTGACAGCTCAGCAGGGGCCTGGCGTAGTACAGCTGACGAGGCAGGAGTCACAAAGAGCCGGAAATAAACCGGCGGCCATCAATCAAGACGTCTGTTCCCAAAAACCCCAAACACTGAGTCATCTTCTGCAGAGGAAGAGGAGCAGCGATGCGGTTTTCATGACAGCTTTTCATTATGCAACTTCCTGTAGAATCAGATTTTATTCCAGTCAATGAGAAAAATACAGCATGTTAAAGTTTACTAAATATATTTCAGATTGTTTAATAAAATAAGAAGAAGTAAAGTTGAGGTGTACAGCCTTCACTGGGCAGCTGTCCGTTTCATACTCCAGGCCAGCAGGTGGCGATGATGAGCCTGTTTTGCAACTCCTTCAGACTAGTCAGCAGAAATTAGCAAACAGCTGGTGGAACTGCTCATTGGAGCTACTTCTCAGTCGTCAAAGGGTTAACAGAGGAGCCATTTTGGGATGACTTCCTGGAGGCGGAGCTTCAGAAAGAGCAGGAGTTTTTAAAGAGACAGAGGCCCAATTTCAAGGAGCTACATTAGAAAGTAATATTTCATTCAAGTCATATTTAACATGTAGTATTTTCATAACTACTGAAGGTAACATAGTTATTTCATTACGCTATAAAACTTCCTGAAAATGACAATACTGCTGTAATTAACCCTGTAGAATATGAAGGGTGAAAATCAGACTTTGAATGTGAAAGAATTGATCACTGAGTAAACAGGAATACTGTTGGAAAAGTTTTCACTGATTTTATGTCAGACAGTAAAATAGTAATATCCAAACCCAGCAGCAATAATCCCTCTTAATACTTGCCTTTAGCTTTTATATTGCATATTATAATAAACATGTTCAGGTCTGAAGTCTACAACCTGCAGTAACTGTTTCCGGCCGCAGAGGGCGGAGTCGAGCTGCAGTCCAGCTCTCCATCAGTCGGCCTGGGCTCAGAGCGAGGCATGACGGGAACGTTTCCCCTCGGAAACCATCAGCAGATCGGCGGTCGGTCCAACTCTCTGCAGGTTTCAGCTGCAGAACTGTTTCTAAATAAAAGCAAAGAGAAACGATCAGTTTGGAAGTGATGAAGCATTCAGCTCAGAGCATCTTCCTCCAGCTCCTCTTCATCACAGCTCTGTCTGCTCCTCCAGTCTGGTTCAAAGTAAATCAATCAGTTTTGTTTCCCCTCTCTGTTCTCCAGAACTCCTACCGGGCCGGGTCATTTTTCTTCTTCATGTAATATCTGCAGCAGTCGCGCTGAGGACGCTTTGATTTCCCATCGCTCAGCCAGTTGACATTTATTCCACAAACACTTGACATTTGGAAATGGTCTTCCTGTGTGAGGAACCTGCAGCCCCTCAGCGCAGCGCCGTCCCGCAGGCCTTTGTGTCGAGCAGCTGGACAGTATGGACCCGCTCCGCTCTCAAATTGATGCTTTCTGCAGAAAATCTGACGCTTTCAGCCCAAACATGAATCTGAATGTCTGGTCGATTCCTCTCTCACTTCAGGGCTGCTTGGTTTCCTGACCTGAAAGGTTGGACTTTAAGATCAGGCAGCATTGTACTCTATATGTCTGACTTAAATTGAAATATTCCTTGTGACTCATTAAATTGAGCCTCTGTCTCTTTAAGAGGCTCCTGCTCTTTCTGAAGCTCCTCCCAGGAAGTCATCCCAACATGGCTCCTCTATTAACCCTTTAACGTTTTTACCAGCGTTTAGCTAAGAAGTAGCTCCTATAATGAGCTCAGCTGTTCCACCAGCTGTTGCTAATTGCTGCTGGCTAGTCTGCAGGAGCTGAGTGGGGGAGGCGGGGCTACGTTTGAATGGTTGCCATGGAGATTAAAGGACCGCTCATGACGAAATCAAATCAACACTCCAGATTTGTTTCTGAGGGAATAAATTTATAACATGATGGAAAGATTTTAGAAAAGTAACTTTTACACAATAAAAGCAGATAGAAGTCCAAAGAAAGAGAAAAGCATGATAATTAAAACATTAATTGTTTTATTCCACACATTTTCTCAGATTTCTCTCAAATGAAAAGAGAAGCCTGACCTGCAGCCGGAGTTCGTCCTCCTGCTGTAAAGTCTCACCGTTTTCTCTGACTTTCACAGCTTGCCATGTGATTTTTCCACACCTGCTCTGCCCTCCTTCACCCTGCAGGCTGTGATTTCCATCAGAAACATTATGTACCTGCAGGGCAGCGCCGTGTTCTGCGCTGGGCTCGGATCAGCGCCGGTTTCCTCGCAGCTGTGAGTGGAAGGAGGAGGAGACCCTGCCGGTCATGCTGAGTTCAAATCACAGAGAGCGCAAACAGAACCTCCAAACCTCGGCCTGAGCTTCAGGCAGGTCGGCCGCCTCATTTGCATGTCAATGAGGAATCTGATCACATCTCAGCGGCGGCAGCGTGACGCTCCACACCGGGACCGTGATTCTGATCCGGAAACCTCTGCAACAATGGCAGCAAACCTCAAAACATTGATCTGTTTGGATTCTCTCCTCCAACAGTTTCACTGATGACAAGAAACAGGAATAAAGGGGACAGAATGCACATGAATCACATTTTGCACATTTTTGGGTTTCAACATTTTCTAAAAACAGAAATGTTTTCAGAAAACCACAAGCTGTCTTTTACCAATAAGTTTTATGGTGCCTGGAAAATAAGCAGCTTCAAAATCCTCTGAAATGACCCGTTTCCTAGCAACCCCAGCCTGTTACCTAGCAACCTGTTTGTTCAGCTGGTTTTATCAATCAATCATATTTAAGGATTTCAAAGAGCTTCACATCATAACAAACACAAAAACACAAAGTTATGCAACATGGAATCAACAATCAAAACTTTATGATTTTATGGCTGTACAATGGCTGCTGGAAAAAACAAATGTTTCATCGTTATCATCTAGAAACCGCTTGCTGCATTCTTGTTGGTTGTGTAGGAGGCTCTACTTTTGCTTTTCAAAGATAAGCAGCTGTAAAGCTGCGCATCAGTTTGCAGCCATTTTCATGTGCGGGTGTAAACGTTGAGTTGGGGGGCGTGGCCAGTGGATTTAAAGTGACAGAGGTCCTAAAACAGGCAGAACTGAGCAGAATAAAATCTGATCATCTGAGGATGCCTCAGATGATCAAAAAATGTAACGAACATGTTTCGTATAGACAGTGAAGGTAAATCAGTGATTCCTCTTGTGAAGGAGTGGCTGGTCGTTGTGCGGCTCAGACAGCAGCAGTGGGTTTCTCAGGCAACACTAACAGAGTTTCTGACTGCGGGAGCCGATGACTCATCGCTGTAGCCGTCGTATGGGCGGCGCATCAATCAGCCTCTCTCCTGATGGGAGCAGATGGCATGTGGCAGCCCAACCAGGACGACTGGGCGTGTGTGTGTGTGTGTGTGTGTGTGTGTGTGTGTGTGTGTGTGTGTGTGTGTGTGTGTGTGTGTGTGTGTGTGTGGTGTGTGTGTGTGTGTCGGATGAAGACCGGTGCAAACAGCAGCATGAAGCTGCAGGACAGCAGCGGCTGATCGGACCTGCAGTGTGTGTTCATCACATGTGATCTGAATAGATCCCAGTTAGTCCAATTAGAGTCCATGAGACGTCTGGAGTGATTAACAGCACAAAGTTTCCTCAGAAGCAGAAAACATGCTCACACAAAAAACTGAAAAGTTTATAATAAAGGGGTTAAAGACATTTGAACGTAATAAACTCTCAGGATGTTCCTGAGTCGTTCTGAGTCAAAAACAGCAAACCATTTGAAAAACCTGTCCCCTCCTGGCCTGTGGCGGCGCTGCACCAAGAACCGCTGAAGGAAATGACACAAAAACCTCTGAAGACGCTCCATCGTTTAAACAACGATGGAGCATCTTCAGATTTTAGCGTTTGTTGGATTTCTCTTTTGTTCTGGTAAAAAAACATGACCCGTTTCTCCTGCTAGCTCTAGGCTAGCTTGTTTGTTTTGATTGTATTTTCCCAGAATGCCCTGCAAAGTTATTGTTTCGCTGCCATTAGGACGTTTAGCAGCACATTCCTAAGGATGAGTGACAGCACTAAGCTCCTCCTCTTGGATCTGATTGTTTTTGTTGCGTTTCTTCAGATGGCAACAGCAGTTTGATCTTTTCACAGATTATTGTGTTAATATCTTTTTATAAAAGTTATTTGCTGCAGCTTTAACTAAACGAACCTGAAATAAAACAGGACTTACTGTAACTGAGTGTTGAATGATGAAAGTTGAGCGAATCAAAACAGACGAGAAAAACAGGAAGTGAACAAATGAGATCATGTTAAAACAAAGATGGAGACGTTGCTGCAGAGCAGGGAGCGAAGTCCTGGTCCCGGTTTGTGAGGACAGAACCGGAGCTGAAGGGTTCGGTTCTGATCTGCTTTTGTGCCGTAATCACTGAAAAACACTCAGATACAAGCTGACACACAGCAGGGGGCCGACACACACAGCAGGAGGCCGACACACACAGCAGGAGGCCGACACGCAGCCAGACCCGCCTAGT